ACTTGGCTATGTCCGAAACTACAGCCATCCCCAAATTTTAATTGTTACTACTTTTAAAAAATCGAAGAATGTTCCAAAAAGTGATACAAAATGGTTTTTTTCTTTAGACAGTCGCCATTTTGTAAAAAAATATATCTAAACCTTTTCCGTCGTTCTGAACATAGCGGCATTATTGTAGATTGATAACCTTTTTTATTTTTTGATTTCAGATTGCTAGGAGAATTAAAATCGTGGGTATGGTCATGCACCATATTTTTGAGACGCCCCATTCCATCAGCTGATAACTAACGGAATTTTAATTTTTTTTATTTTTTTGTATGCTTCTAAGGTGAATAAAAAATGTATAAAAAATTGATAGTAAAAATATCGCTTGCTTTTTTAACAACACTTCAAAAATGACTTAAAATTCATGTCTCTAGACCAGAATACCCCTTTAAACATTTTCTCTATTCTTGACAATTACGTCTCACTGTACTATCAACTTTCAAGGACTCAGAACCTAGTTTTTACTTCACTCCTGCGACCTTGAACAACGCCAAATGGTGGATTTATTGTCGGAGAGATTAAACCACTGTGTGACCCTCGATGGATCTTTGCTAGTACCCAGCCCACACCATCAATGGCGTCATAAAAATCCTTCCCTTTCTGTGAACTGAAGCTTGCATCCCCTTTAGCTAATACTGTATCACCTATCTTCTCAGCCACCGGCACAGACCACTCCAACGAATTTTGTTGCTAGCAAGCATCCCATTTACATCTAATGGAAATCAGAAGGGTATAGCAAGGGACCAAATCAGGCTACGGTTAAAACCGTATTAAGCTTCAGACCCTAAGTTAATCCGTGTCGATTATATTAAGTGCTGATTAAATTAGTAAGAAAAGGCTAACTCGAAAGCCCCGATGTCCCCACCGTGTGACCTTCCCATTCTCGCCTTGTTTATACAATCCGAATCCAAATTCTATTTTCTACAATTCACACTTTCTTGATCTAGATTTCCTAATGACTGTTGAAGATATTTAACCGTCCTTCAAATTAGCACATTATTCAGTATTGATGCCACTATTGGCGTACAAGTGTTCACTTTCTACTCCAAATTCTTTGTTAACAATTGATTTTTCTCTAAAACAAGTATTAAGTGACCTCTTTACGACCCCCAGTGCTATTTGATATTAAAATAATCTGTTAGATCCCGATTATTTAAATGATAAGATGAAAGAATGTAACAGGCTTATATTATAAATAGTTTGCCTTAAAAAACAAAAAAAATGTTTGTTCAACGATACAGAAATTACATAATATCACAAAACCAATCTTCTGCTCCAAAAATTTTCTGAGAAATATATAAGAGAAGGAAGAGAGTAGCCAAATAATAGTCAATAAACTAGTGAGAATGACCAAATGAAATGACCACCGGTATAATGGAACCAAGCACAAAGGCGCAAATCTCTTTCGGCTTTAATTTGACTTCGTTGTGATGATGGTATCCGTTACTTGAAGTACTAGTGGTAGACGATGAGGAAGCTGAAGGCTTTTCTGCGGTCAAATGAGGCAATATGTGTGCTGTGGCGACATAGAGGAATGTTCCACCTGAAAGCAGGAGTGCGAACCCCGTATAGGCCATAGATGAGCCGCCCTAATATAAGAAATGCGAAAAATCGATTTAATGTGTGAGTGAACTAGCCATTTTATTCAAGTGCATAGAGGAGGAAAGGAAAAGTTTATCAGGTAGTAACACTATACAGTGTTAAATGTGGACACTGAGGTTTCATTTTAACAATCTCACATGTTGAAATATAAAAGTACACTTTTCAAATATACACTTTTTTCAATTCAGCAGTATATGAAGTACTTTTCTACAAAAGTAATATGTGCTAGAAGGAGCTATTGTATGGGCGCAATAATCTAAAAGCCAAATGGTCAATCGATTGATTAGTAATTGCAATTTGTGTTACTAATCGAGTTATAAAGTACAGCTATAAGGGCACGAAATAGCACACAGTACGCGTCAAGTATTTCCGTGATATAAATTGTTTTGTTTTTTATGCAATTATAGAATAAGTAAGTGAATAAATTATTGTCAAAAAAAACACTTACTTGTTGAGAGGAGAGGTAAGAAATTGCGGTGACAAAGAAGTAAGTGAGAAGAGCACCTACAGGGGTGGCAAGGGAGAATACAAAGAGGTATTTTTTGACAGCATATCGAGGTAGGCCTGAATGTACTAAGAAAGACACAAAGCCGAAAGCTGCCGGAGCCTAAAATAGAAAAATAAAGCAATCAACAAAGACAGGCTTCGAAGTAGAATTTTGGAGGAAACAATGATTAAAGAGGAAAGCGCCCTGCAAGTGAATTAAAAAAATGTTAACCACACCGATTTTAGAGCCCGTTAAGCAAATACGCCCTGTCTTCATAGAATGGGAAGTAAATAGCGTCAGATCGGAGACATAACACAAACACAAAATGAATTGAGCTTTCTGAGGAGGAACACGAGGAAAGACTAAAAATGGCTTACCAGCGCAAGTAAATAAGTTAATATGATTAATGAAAGGTTTTGAATAGAGATGTTTCAATGTTTTATCTATGGCCCCTCATCTGAACAGCGGAATGAATTAAAATGACAATAGAATAATCATAATAACATCACTTTTCCATTAAAATACACGACGCATTAAAACGAGTGCATTATTGAGATGCATTTAAATCCAATCGAAATAACCCAAGTGTAGTAAATGAGAGCATGGAATTTATTCAATCAATATCTTTTAAGACAACTATACTATTAAGATCAAAAGAAAAGTGTAAAAAGCAAAGAGGTTCGATTAAATTATGATAAATAATACTGAAAGGTTCATAGTTCTGAAACTACTTTAACGACAAGGGATAAGTTACATAGAGTGGAAAAGTATTTAGTTGATAATCGGATTTTGGGAACAATCTAGTATAAATGGCATTCAATTTTTAGATTCACATAAAGCAATTTAAAGTAAAATAAGCACGTAAATGGAAATCAAAACTCGATCGATGGAACTAGTGCAGCTGGCAGTGTAGTCAATATTCCATAAACAAGCTCGTTTGTAGAACATAAGTTTACGAGAATACATATAATGCAAGGCGAAAAGTGTAAAGATAAAGTTCAATTACGGCTGGAAAATAATTAGGCCAGCTTCAAATATCTCAAAATCAGGCTTTCAGCGCCCATTTCGCAAAACAAAATCTTCGAACAACCGTGTCCCTTTCCTCCGAAAAATATAGATTTGAGGTTAACTAGGTAAGTTCCGCATAACCAGTTCATCAGGCTTAAAAGGATTGAAGTTTCCGAAAACGGAGAGGTTGAGTTATTCAGATACAAAATCGAAATCATATACTCACAATTTTTTCAGTAGCACATATTGACGATTTTTGTGCCATACCTATTTCAATATCAACTTCAAATACGATTTGAATTCAATTCCTTCCATCAATTTAATAAATAATATCAGTATTAAGAAACATTTGTGAATACTTTGCACTGTGAATAAGCCTGACTTTAATCTCTTATTTCGATTATAACGATGCCACGGTAGCCTGATCAACGTTGTCCAGGAAAGTCAACAGTCGGTCGATCTAACTGGCTGAGCCAATCTTAATTATATTCTTCATTAATTGCAACATATCTAACCTCCTAACTGCTCGACGCTGATACTATCAGTTATCACTGATTGGCTAGCGTACTCAACGTCTCGTTCCTGATTGATCTAAATATGATTGGTTGGTGAGTAACTTCTTGAAGAATACGAACAGTAGAGCTCCGATCAATCAACACATACTAATATAACAGCTAAAAAAGCGAGTATCTATACCTCAGCTCTCCAACAGACATTGATGCGCCACTGCCTGCATGTATGGTAGAACTTTATCGCACACCACAGCAGCTTTGGTCACAATTGTATCAATCTTGCTTGTTAAAACTCCCACAGTCAATCACACATAGTCCACAACAGTTTGTTGACGATTTTATGCCTTTCAAATACACCAATTCCTATTTACCCAAGACCAAAGAAGATTAATGGGTATGCTAATGGATATGATTATTCATCAAGACATCTTGAATTATGGGATATAGCCAAGATTAAAACCAATATGACAAGGAATATCATGTCAGAACAGGACATTGTGGCTTAAATACAATCAATTGTCTGTATGAGACAAAACATTTAAGAATGAATGAAAAGAAATTTCGGAGCCCCATGTTACATATGAAGCTGTAGATAGCATAAATAGAACATTCCAGTCAATACAATTTGGTGAAGTCCTCTCCGCTTCCAAACTATAATATCTAGGAAATTCCATTCAATTCAACTGAGACAGATTTGAAGCCGATTTATTTTGCCTTACCAGTGATACTTCATATATGATATCACGAAAAGTTAAAAGTCACACAAGGCAATCCAGCACCAGCAAACCATTAACTAACTTGCACACATAGTAGCAGATTGAAAGAACACGACATACCTTGTGAAGCATTATAGCTATAAAAAGGATGAGGGTGAGATCGATGGTGAGACTAAAAGCGGCGCCAATTGCAAGTCCATCTGCAAGGGAGTGTACAACCAGCCCCACTGTAGTTGTCAGGGCACTATGCTCTGCTTCTGCCAAGGCCACTGCCGCATTGGCTCCCCCAGCCCCGGACGTAGCTTCATCTATCGTTGTGGCTATAATGCAGAAAGCGAATAAGAAGAAGCATTAGCGCATTTCAAATGAAATAAATACATTTCATATAAGCAGTCTAGCTATAGAAGCGCCCAGTTATTCTATGAACCGTCTTCAGATTACAATAACCGTCAACAGTGGTAACATTGAGATCGAACCAATCATAATGCCAATTGTGATGTTATGATTAATCCTGCCCATAACCACACCAGTAGAAATATTGAAACTGAACGGTACAAAGAATAGGAACGGACGAAACAACTTTTTTATGGCAATGGGAATGAATTGGGGATTGAAATCGCACACAGCAATGGTACTGTCAGGGTAAATGAACGTGGGTGTATCACCCTCAGATATGTACTGATGGTACGTCAGATATGGGTAAGCATTCATGTACGCGATAGAATTCATTAAATAGGAGATGAAATAGGTACAGCATTCAAGGAGGTAAATATGTCCTCACCAAGGCAATTACACACAAGCAAACAGACAGCATGAGGTAATTGTAAGGTAAAATTTCGTGCGTTGAAATGCGCCCGCATATGCAACAATAAAGTTAATGGCTGACCTTCTTGACCTAATGAGGTTCTAGTTTAGAACAGAGCCTTAATAGCAGCATCAAACTCATCCCCCACTGGGATATAGTTGGCTATCTTAGATCACTTCATGGAGCTCTGATTCACACTGAGCCTTATTTCTAGATCTCCCAAAAAGTTAGTTTATCTTTATTTCATACAGTCGCCTTAGTTCTAGCTCGTCTATTTAAATAGTTACAGTGAACACGTAAAAGATGTGATATGGAAAAGACGTGTTAGCCCTAGGCCTTCTGGATTTCCATGTAGTTCCAAATACTATGCAAAGTGGATACTATGATGAAAATGGAAACCAGTCCATCTTCACTTCTACATTCACATTAGTTAGCCATTAGTAAGATGCACCTGTTCTTCTTGTGCAGCAAGGATGAGATAGCTCTCGATGAGACAATTGGCCAAATTGCGATACACCGTTAGTAGCTAACATGTAAATGCCCATTATGATGACAATATCATCAACTGATATTAACACTCTCTTACTTATACATTATTCATGCAGACATAATGCAAGATGTCCAATTAGAGTCGAGGTAACATTTGCATACGCATAGCCAACTTCGCATCCATTAAATACGTGCCTTCTTGTTGAAACGGTTGGAATTCGTAGTTAAGCCAAGACAGGTGGACCTTAAGTTACTAATTCCCTATTTGAAGGTTGTAAGCAAACAAAACTGACTATTTTATAAGAGAGGTGAAATGTTATGTAATACTAAGTGCGCAAGGAAAGTCGAAATTCAGCATTGAATTGACTTATGTTTAAATGCGCACTTTTATATGCAGATACGGTAACAACTTCTTCGTTACATAACTCCATTTACTTTTGCTCCAATTGTATATTGGGGATGATAGCTCTTAGATCGTGAAAAAAGGGACAAATCTAATTTATTTGGAATGCAAGAAGTAAACACACATTTTAGGTTAATTTAAATTTGAATCACCTGAATGAGTACTTATACCGAAATATTTCGAAATAATTAACAAGGAAAGGCAAGAACCTTACGCAGTAGCATATCCCCAGATTGTTTTCGACAGCACATACACTGGAAGAGGGGAAACAGGGGTCTAACACAGGTTTGACATCTTGCTTCGGTGCCCAGATGATCAATAAGGAACATGAGGACGAAACCCATTGTTAGAGACAGGCCAATCATGCCGTGATTCGTCAAACTGGAAGCTGATTTCCCATGATCGTGGTCGTCGGAAGAATGTATCGCTTTTGGTGCACCAGCCGGAGGGAGTGGTTGGGGCTGATTAGCTGCGGGTAGAGGTTGTATTGCAGCAGGCTGAGCAAAGCCGCCAACAACTTGAAAGGGATGAGCGACTGGATCATCCAGTTGATTCAAATGGCGGGTATCGGAAATACTGTTTTCTATGTTTTGGTGACTGCCGGTGTGCTTTGTGTGAGCGCTACCGCCCTAATGGGGAATAAAATTTTCATCCGTAGTAAATCGGAATGCCTTAGTTATTTATCCCACGGTCAACTGAAAAGGCCTACGCATTGAGATGGAACTTATGGTAACATAAAAGCATATTGATTCAAGCATTTTCTGGATCATTTTTGCTCATCGGGTCAATAGAGTATGGTAGACAGTCGACGGCTTCTATCATAAATCCGATTATGGAATTTAGACACCGAGACGACTTCTTTTCCCTGGTCACTCAAGCGCACTCTAATTTCTGTAATTTTTTCGATATCATTCATTTCATTTGTTACTTTCTGGTAAATATTTCTAAATTTTCGATGGTTATTGACATAGCGACTACGGCTTAAGAAAACACTAACGGAGAATAGAGACAACATCCTTACCTTTTACTACTCAGAGTTTAAAAAACATTTTTAGGATAAGAGGAATGCTTGCACTAGGAGAAGACAAGGCATGAACGTGATCAGAGAAAAAAAAAGTTGAAGAGGATTGAACTTATAAAGATAAAATGACAAATCCGGTAGACAGCTCATTGGTTAAGGGATGAGTTCACGATTCATTTCTGGGATTGCAATTTCACCACTAATGCAATAACTGGCTAACCATAGAACCAGTTGAAATGTTCATATAGTTTAAATTCCTCAATAAGAGACAAGATGACCATTAAATTACAGGTAGTCTATTTTCATGAATATTTTGAAGAATCATTAGAACCAAGGTGGTAATTGGAATGGTTAATAGGAACCAGTTCCCCCAAAGCCTATAGACTTTGAAATTATCATTTCAATAAAGGAAAGTACTACTCTCTCCCTCCCACCATATCACTTCAATGTAGGAATTAAAGAAGAAATAATCTATTTATTATAACGGCAGTCTTATTTGTAGCAAGCAGGTTATTTCAATAAAGAAAGACTGAGTTATGACCCATTTATGTATAAATCATCACGCACGAAATGGAAGTAAATCGAAGAATTCTTAACACAATTGCAGAAGATAACAATTAACCCATTTTTAATCCATTTCCCAACAATCGTCTTTATAAATCTAGCCATTTCTTTTCCAGGGGGCATAGCAATTGATTTCGAACCCAAGACTGTTGACTTAGCAGAAAGACTAGTTGATGGACCCTAATTGCAAATCTAAGTTAATTAATCGAAGAATCGAAATTTGAATCGTTGAAAGCTCTCTCGGTAATACTGCAAAGAATTTCTCAGTCACCTATCTCTCTTGTTGGCCAGTATAGAAGGGTGCGGCTAACCATTTATATCCCAGCAACCAACTTAGGGACCCGATTATTACAAAGACTTAACAAAATCTAGTTTTACAGGTGGCGATGAGAGAGACCAATAATAACCAATAAGGTAGCAAATGGGCTTAAAGTTTAGCATTATTAATTTTTATATAAAATAAAAAACATAGAACTTACATGACTATGCTGATCGTCATATATGGTAGCAACACCCTCGGGAATAACAATAGCCAAAGCGGCGCCAACTAAAAGTCCAGCTCCCACTAATGTAACCAGACGCAAATGACGCTGGATAGAGATTAAAATAGAATTAGTCAAAATATTAAAGGAAAGTAATGCAAGTATCCTGGCAGATCATAAAAATATAGCAGCATACATGAGACAAATATACCATGCATGGTGAGAAAGCGTATAAAAAACAGATGAAGCCTACCGGAGAATAATTGCACGCTACAGGAATATACCCAGCTCCATAACAGCCGAGAAACATAAAAATACAGAGGAGCACCAGAGCCAACATCTCGAGTTGACCTTGGAAATTCAGGCAACAAGGCCAGCAAGACGTGGGCGTAGGTATTAGTCATTTTAACACAGCCCTATTAAAATGCTAGGTTAAAATTAAAATCGATTTTAGCAGAATGATTGCATTTTAAAGGTTTTATTTTTTGCATCTGATGGGTTTGAGTTATTTCAATCAAATTAATAGAATTGGATAATTATTTTCATAAAGCATTTAACGGTGAACTAATTTTGTTTTCAATAGTATGCCGTACATTATTATACCAATGTGGATGAAAAAGAAAAGAGTATTCCTCCTTAATGTTGAATTAAAAACTCTTACTACTACTTGTAATTTATCTGAAGTAATTATATCGCTACCTAATCAAAAGGATTTAATTAAGTTTCTTGTTTTATGCTGACCAAACAAATTATTACCATAAACCTTAGAATAAAATGTTAAAACTCGCTTAACGCTCTATATTGACCAAAGTAATTTCTTCTCTTTTTGTTGTTTACTACGTTTGAATCGCACATGCGTTAGATAAAATTTATGACTCATAGAATGACTATGAGTGGAATGAATTCTTTAATAATGCGATAAAATTGTTAACTGTCGTCCGTATCGAACTCGTACATATTCTAGACTAATTTATTGGATCTTACGCAGGATTTTAGCAGGTCCGAAAATTAACTACATGTTCATCATGTAAATAAAAACCCATTGAGAAGATGCAAGTCAACAGATGGTGATGAGGACGAACTATTTTATGAATTCTAATATTGTCCATTATTAACCTATTGTGGAGTTTTGTGATCATTCGCCTGTTTCTTCGAAAATCTAGTTGATACCTCCATAGATTAGCTAGCAAGCATAAGTGAAAACTCTTTACTGTTTAATTACATTTTAAAGGCGTTTGCGTGTTGATAGACCATAGCAGAAAGGGTTATGTAGTCATTGTATAAGCTAAATAGAGATCTGTTTAGAAACATTTTTCAATTCTTAGGCTATTTATTCTTAATAATAGGACTTTTATATTATTCGATGAATCCCCTTATAGTATTGCTTTATATTATGGAACTTTTTAGTGCAAGATCATAAAATCTCTGTAACGGTGTACCTAAATATAAGGTCCAATGCTTGAAGACCGTCTGTGCTAGTTACAAGATTAAACATTTTCCCCGAGTGCATCATATCTCAAGACTGAGCTTCTTAAAGCACTCAAGAGGATTCGATGCTCTTTTTAAAAACGGATGTCAACTAAATCTGGCAAGCTGGAACGCCAGGATATCGAGAAAGGCATCTCAGCAGAAGTGGTAAAGGTAAAGTCATAAAAAATTCACAGTGATGTCAATTATGAGACAACATCGATTTTGGCATGACTGACGTTGCCAGAAGGCACGATTGTTTCTTTCAATAACTTGAAACATGCTTTTCAATAATATTTGAAATATTCAGGATAACTTCTTATATTTACTCCATCTTGCATTCCCGTCTTCTAGCAGCTGTAAATCATAATGAATTGATTCTCCATAATACGCATGAAAACATTTATTTATATCAAATGACTGGCGTTTTGGTGGTTATCATTAGCCCTTTAGTTGACTTCAGTTTCGGAGGAAGTATACGTTCCCCAGGGTACACCACGTGGAGGTAAGTGTATCGCACACCCCTAATTAAACATAATATGGAAAGGGTATTAGTTAAATAAAGGTTTAACATTTTGAGATCGACTGAAATTAATACTTTAAATCTCCAGGTTTTTAAACAAATAAAACATGATTTTGTTCAATAGCATTAGCTAAGGTTCCCTAATTTACATTTTTTGTTAAAAGCGGAGTTTTGACAAATTACAAATTACAAAATCAGCTAAGCTTAGTTTGCTTTCGTCAAAATGCAATATATATATATATATATATATATATATATATAATTTAAGGCAATTTTTATTAACCATATATCCTGAAAATTCGGAAATGATAAAGAAAAAATAATTTTCAATTTCTTATCAACGAAATATTATGTTCCCCTATTTGTCACTATGGTGCATTTCGAATTTTGCTCAATGTCAAATTATTGTTATCCCTTCTCTGTTTGTGATAAACTGACAATTGTGTTAAAACGTATGTAAATAAAACCCTTTTGTTTACCTTTTTCTGTAGCGAATCAGGAGGATGCTAATTTTCAATTTTTCGTTAATTCAACTTATCAGCTGCATTATAAGTAGGATGTTTATCCTGACCACACACCCCATAATGTAGGAAGTACAGTCCATTTAAGTACTTAGAAAACAACACAAAGTAGTAAAAGTACAAAAGTAGGAAGAAACTTTTCAAAATGACCGCTGCACCCTCCCATGTTTGACTATATGCTGACTGCCAATTTTTACGCCACAGCATAAATCAATTATAAGAAACCTGCAATCCTAAATGGGCAGACTGTCAATTCAATCACTATTGACATTCTTAAAAACAAAATTTATTTATTTCAAATGGCGGACTTTATGACACTTATCATTAGCCCTTTAGCTGACTTCGGGCTTCACAGAGGGAAGGTTCATCAAAGTAGCAGAAAGTCGAGGGGTGGGGAAGAGAAGAGCGATTCACGGATGTAAAAGTGGCAGACAGACACAAAGGTAGAGAAAAAGGTAAGGTGAGTACTGTGGAAGGGGTCGAATATGACAACCAGGGGGTTCGTGGTAGTTTGAAGTAAGAAGTCAACTGCCGGTTAATAGACTTTTTTGCCGTATGGGTATACGTTGCCCAGGGTGCACCACGTGGAGGTAAGTCTATCGCACACCCCTCTTAAAAATAAAATAAAACGTATAATTCGGTATATACTACAACTTTGGGAATTAGGGCCAAAAACACC